AGTTGTAAACATATTTAATGTTTTTATTCAATTTTTTTTCTCTTCATCATCTCTCCTATAGCTCAGATCACAACTGTTGTCAAACATCCAACTATGCAAATTAAGTGATGACGTCATCCAGCAGCTTCTAGGACAGCCAATAGGGACTTTTCTTGCTCAGGAGTTGTCAACACTAAAACGATCCAAACCATACAAGTAGCCCATCAGTTTAAAGCCCAGACTCTGCTCTTTCCAACAATATAAGTGTCACAGCTCTACGTGAAAAATTCACAGAACAAGCAGCCAAGGAATAGTGAAAAAGGCTAAATTCTGGAACCATAAACACAAACGTCTTTCCTTTGTTTTTATGTCTTTAATCCACTTTGGAGTGATTTTTTTCCATTTGGCTGGACCTGTACGTCTCCTGTGTTAATGTTGGTACATGTAATATGATAATTCTGAACTGTGGAGATCATTAAGAGTCATTCTCGGGTGAAAAAATCTTTCGCTAACACTGTGTTGACCGCGAACTGTGTTGACCCGAACAACACTTGCACAAATCCGGATGTAACAAAATTTTTAAAAATGAAAGCATTAAAGATTCACATAAGTATTCTGATTTTACCTCTACGGGCCTTTCTGATTTCAAATTTTCCAACACTGAACTCAAAAATCGGACTTTGTTGAACATAAAAAGACACAGCAATAGCAAAATGAATGGTCTGGACATACTTCTCCCAGGAGAAAACACAGTATAAAACACATTAATGTGAAAGAACAGCTCACAAACTGTGGTGAGAAAGGAGCTATCAGAGTAGGAAAGGTCAGCCATCAGATATACACAACACAGAGACATGAGGGACACACAATCTGACAGAGAGAGATGGAAGGTGACGGAAAGGAGGAGACAAACGAGCGGGTGGACTCACCGATGAGACGCAGAAATAGAGTTCAAGGGTGTAGAGAAGAAGAGAAAAAGACAGCCAGAGTGGAAAAAGACAGACTATAAGAGATACAGGAAGCAGGGAGAGCTGTACGGCCGTCCTGACTGGCTATAAATATAAGAAGGCAGAAAAGGTTGGTGTCTGGAGCAGAAATGTTCCACATGGGGAGTAAGCTCATTTCACCACTGAATTTGATGCTGCGCTGTACTGTCAGTGTCAGGAAGAAAGGAACTATTGACTCAGTGCATGTTGATGAAGGAAATTTCTCCACACAAGTCCCTAATGCGCACACAGACACACAAACAAGCACACACACACATGCTGTAGTGTACACTAACCTGTAAGGTGGGTGACACATTGGACAGAGAAAGGCCTTTGAGGTCAGACAGAAGGCTTGAAGAGATGACTGAAGGCTTTGGTGCGTTCGTCGGTGCAGGAGAAACTGGATGGTGCAGAAAACAGAAAGGATCAGCTGCAGCCAGTGTTCTTCAGGAGGATGCTTTTTATAAATGTTTGCTCTATCATGACCTGATGGCTATAATTCACAAATTAAATATGGTTAATTTGGGGTTTTTTACCCACTGATGAAAGTCCGGCAATTATGCACTTATAAAAAAAACTCATGAAGGGTTTTAACAGCACTCAGAAATGAATCAGACATATATGCTATGATTAACTTTTGAAATCAACTCAAATCAAGATGGTGATCACAGCTAATTTTAAAAAAGAAAAAAGGTTTAATTCAATTATTTTATAAATATTAAGCAAGGTGTCTGCAACCTGTGGCTCTGGGGCCACATGTGGCTCCATGGTCCCTCTGCAGTGGCTCTTTGAAATTGTGACGAAACATAACACTATATATA